TGCATATATACATATACACACATAAACGCGCCTGTGTATATAAATATATAAACACATATACATTATTAATATATAGATACATGCATGTATATATAAACACATGCAGTTATATACATATGTGTACACACATAAGATATATATGCAGGCAAATATACATATGTATATAGATATACACACATATGTGTATATGCATGTGTATAAAATTTGAACAGGTCCTGCAAATGGCCAATGATTTAGGCTTAGAATTGAATAGGTGGAGATCAGGAGGGATTGTCTTCAGGATACCATGTAGAGTTTTTAATGGTCTTAAGCTATTTGCTGCTGTAAAGACTCTGTCTTTTAAATGTTAACATCTTCCTGCTATATGGTTGTTGATCAGTCTCAGAATAATGAAAATCAGAGGCCTAACAGTGACTGCAAACATGTATGTTTAGAGTAAGTAACCTGCAGCATATAATTGGTAATGCCTTGAATAGGGGAAGTGCTATAAGAGACAGCCTCAAGCATACACTTACCAGAAAAGAAATGCAGCAAAGAGCAGGGGATAATGGTTGCGTGATCTGAATGCTGTCCCATTGCTCGGGAAATAGGAAAAAAGCTAGATAAAGCCTCCAGTGCATTAGGTAGATCTTCTATAGATGATTTATAGAAAGATATATGGAAAGATGCATGGAAATGTGGCGATCTGTGCTGGGAAAGGTATGACCACACTCATGAGAATTTGGATCCATCCAAGTACAGAATTATCTCACTTATCACTAGATGACCAAACTATTCATTTGCTTATGAAATTGAACGTCTGTGTTTTGAACAAACAATAAGAAGTTACACAATTATAGTTGCTGCAAATACAATTTACTTCATTTGATACATTAGATACATTCCTGAAAGGTTGTGTCTAGAGCAAACATCTGTATAGCAAATCATGGTGTATTTTTTTCCCAACTAATTTCCATTAAAATTCCAGAAATGTTTCCTTGGATACTCTTGATCCTCCTCAAAAAGTTGAGCATAGTGGGAGCAGAAATCAGATGAGCTGGGTTTAGGTTCCAGCTCTCTCATTTGCTGGTTGTATGATCTTAGGCAAACCACAACCTCTCAAGTTTTTCCTTAACAATGAAATGAATTAATAATAACTTCTCTTTCTGACCCTCAGAGTTGTTTAAAGATTAAATCCACTAATCACTTTTACATGTGAGTCAACAGTTATATTTACATGTGTGCATTATAAATTCATATTTAACATTTTAGAAAAATATTATTTGCATCAATATTTCCCAAGATGTACATGTTAATATCAAAAGGACATCAAAGTTCTATATAATATAATTTAGGAAATGCTGGATAACATCCCTTAAATCTTAAAAATCCTATGATTCTAGAGGATGCAAAATTATGCCTTTAATAAAACCCAGTTTAAGTTGGATTGGTTCGCATTAATTCTGACATTATTACATTTGTATGAGTATATATGGAGCATTTCCTTATCTCCCCAACTGCCAGTGTCTCCCCAACCAAAATACCTTGTATTTATTTTGTATATAATTTAATATGTATATATTGAATCCCCTGATAGGATGTGAACACCTTGAGGTGATGGAGTGTTTTACTTTTGTCTTTGAATCTCTAGTGCTTAGCACAGTGCCTGACTCAGGGTAGGTGCTTAATAAATATTTGCTGATTTCTTGATTGATTGGTGCTCAGGGAGGACTGGCACTTCTGGTGTGAGGGCTCAGGGCTGCTCATCCACCTTTGATGTCCAATTGATTCACCCAACTCTCACCTGTGACTCCAAGAAGCTGTAGCATGGGCAGTGGCCACACCCCAGTAAAACTGTCTTGGCAGAGGGACTAAACCAGGTTGGGGATAACCAACAGACCTCAAACCTATCAGTGAGTTAGGGGGGTGTCTACCCCAAGCATGTAAAGACTTCCCCCGGATGTGGATTTGTGGATGAGAACAATTTGTTCTAATGGCCATGAAAACAGTTGAAGTAGGCACTGTGGAGCGCTTAGAACTTGGTCAGACATCGAAGATGTCAAGGTCATTCACTGCATCCTGGGCCATTGCCAGTCATCCTGACTTTTGTCTTGCCACTGAACTTTGATGACTCTGGAAGAGAAGCTAGGCTGATGACTTTGAGCATCTCTGCCTTACTTAAAATCCAAGTCACCCATGAGTCAAGACAATACAGCATGACATCATTGTCCTCTTTGGAAAAAAAAAAAAGCTTGAACAATGACATCCACATATAAAGGGGTAAACTAATTTTATATATGGGAAACCCTAAGTTTCTAGTTCCTATTCCATCTGAAGCCTTAATATTTAATCTTGTTAGTCATAAATGCATTGCCATTGGCTTTAACATTTTAGTTATGGCCATTAGTTTTTTTTTAATGGGAATTGGAAAAATATTTATTTTTGAGATTTTTTTTAAAAACAGTAACCAAACTCACTGTCATACCTCTGATTCTCAACTTGCAGACTGAATGATGCATTTGTGTATGGATGTGTTTCTTGGTTGTAGAAAACAGTGGAGAAAATTCTTTCCCTTCTCTAATTTCCACAATGAAAGTGTCAGTTCCACATAGGACAAATAGCTAAGGCATTTGTACATGTATCTCTAAGAAATATATACAGAGGAGTCTTGGGGAGAGACTTGGGGCCAACATGTTTTTAGGAGAATCATCAAAGTCTTCCCTCTCTTTACAGAGTGGTAGTTCAGAGTGTGGAAAGTCATTGTTCATTCATGGGACAAGAGTACACAGGTTGGTAAGAACTGAGGACTATGAGTTTAGCACCCCTTACTACTGAGGTTAATTCTCCACATCTTCCACTTGCACTGGAATACTGGGTCCCTAGAGAGTGGCTGTAAGTCCTCAAGATTCTAAGAGTAACCCTAAGGGGCTATATTTCTAGAATTGGCACTCACGAGCATCCCATAATTTGTTTCCCTCTAACAATCAGATGTACTTAATTTACTTTTAGGGAAGGCATTTGCTGAGATAGCATAATACAAACATTTGGTATAGAACCCCCCCAAAAACAGTCTGGGGTATACTCTCCCAAAATATGCAAATGGTCCATAGGTAGAGTTGACACAAACTTAAGTTACAAAGGCACATAAGTGACAAAGGAGAACTTCTAGCTTTTGCTTCCTGGTAGCTTTTTTCTCTCTTTGTAAGATCCTCATAAAGTTCCCCTTGGTTGTTGATCTTTGTTGGACTTTTGAGTCACTCCTTTGTAGAGTTCATAGCCAGCATGTTCTCCATGGACAGGTCATGATTCCTGAAGCTACCTTTCCCCAGATGATTGTTACTCCTGGTAGGATGGTTTGTATCCTACTGGTCTAGTCTCTCTGATTCCAACAAGATATACTGTTTGGTATTAATTCAGTTTCCTTGATAACTCTTTGATAAACTACTCTCCTCAACCACCACCCTCTAATCCTTCAAGAACAATTTCCTCTTGGGCCTTGGTTCCACATTTCAAACTGGAATACTCTAAACTAGAATTTTTTGGGGGTACAAGGCAATTGGGGTTAAGTGGCTTGCCCCGGGTCATAGAGCTAGTAAGTGTCAAGTGTTTTAGGCTGGATTTGAACTCAGGTCCTTCTGATTCCAGGGCCGGTGCTCTATCCACTGCACCACCTACATGCCCCTATAATTCTTCTACTAACAGACTGATGTACCTTTTGACTGGTTCTCTACTGGGCTGATGGCTATTTTTACACAAAGGCTCAGCTGTTTGTTGGATTCTTTCAGCCAGTCAAAAGATGTTTTTTGCATCAGTTTTTATACTTTTGATTGATTTATTAAAGAAGATGTGTGAACCTTCTGTGATTACATTAGTTTGGGGGAGGGGTAGAACCTCACCCTTACATAAGAAATTCAAAGAAATATGAGAAGACTTGTATGAACAGATGCAGAGTGAAGAAAACAGAACTAGAAAATCAATATGGATAATAACTACAATAACGTAAATGAAAGAACACCATAACAAGACAGATGGTTGTCATTAACATGATTATTCTATGCCCAAGAGGAGAGAAGAAATTCACCTACCACTTATCCTTAGAGAGTTGCTGGACTATGGGTGCAAAATGTTTTATAGGCTGTCAGAAAAGTTTCAGTTGGAGAATTCCCACCTTTGGGAGATCCCCCTACCAATGAAATGACAAGTCCAGCCTCATATATGTGAGTGTAATACACTCGTACACATCAATGGATATAAATGTTAATATACACTATATATATATATATATATATATATATACACACACACACATTCTGGATTGTATATATATATATACACACACACATACACACACACACATATATGTGTGTATATATATAATATATATATATATATTTATAGATAGATAGATAGGAAGCAGTTTAGATCACCTTCCCCCAACTCTGCATATATCTCATATGTACCTCATTATTTACTGATTCATTTATGTCTCCTTCATTAGAATATAAACTCTTTGCAGGTAAAGATTGGGTTTGCCTTTCTTTTTATTCCTGTGCTTAGCACAGTATCTAGCACACAGCAGGTGCTTAATAAATGCTTGCTGACTATTGATTAATATATGGATAAGATATCAGGATTAAAAATAAGCTTTAGTTTTCATCTGGATTTTTGCATTAAGAAGCCACAGCCTTTGTGTATTTCTTCTTATAAATGAATCAAAAAGCTTACCTACAAATATCTTATTTGATAGCAACAGATAGTGTTTTAATATACAACCAAAGGTCAATGAATCATTGACCATGTTTGCAAGTACAATCGATAAATGGGCATTCATTTAGTCCTGAAATTGGCAATGAGTTTTGGTTATTACATTGCAAAATGCAAATATGACAGGAGCCTTGAATAAATGCTGGCAAAATCACACACTTTCAAAACTTGTTTATTCAGTATGTTTGGTAAATACAGAAAAATAAAAAGGATATTTTACAAAATATACAATTTCTATATTTACATTAATGCTTTGTTAACATAATAAGAAAACAAGTTCAATGCACAAAACAAGAGAATTTACAGATTTAATGGTGTAGCTTATCTTGCAGCCTCATAGGGATACACATGTCTACACATGTATTTTATTTATAGAGTGTTTTATTATGGGTCATATACAGTTTAATAAGCCATAGCTACATTAATCTCAAATTTGGGATCACATGCCATTCTGCTGGTTTATAGCACCATCATGGCAATTGCTTATTCTCATGTCTGGAATTAAGTTATAAGTGCACCCAAAAACAACACAGACAGCTAAAGCATGCTTCAGAATGGCAAAGAAAATGAACATGTGGAAAGGACTGGAAGTTCTTTGAAGGTGGCATTAGCTTTATTGGAGAAGGTTACCTCCTGCTGAGTATTCTACTTTCCCTTTTTATTGTAAAGAGTTTGAAATGCAACAGGGCTTATTATGACCTATAAAGCCAGATTAACTTGCTTTTAGATATTACTTACTCCACTAAGTGACCTACTACCCAATTTATGAGTGTAGACACTACATGTCTCTTACTGTGCAATACATATTAAAATGGATGAATAGTCTCTGTTCTGGCTTAAAAATACAGCATCAGAGCTATCTCCTATGCTAGTTTAGAGCTTGTTTTCATTAAATGCCTCACAAATGTTGGATGCAGATTGATAAACAGCAGAGCACCCTTAAGTCAAAAAGATGACTCTACAACAATGTAGTTGTCAAGTGATGTGGTTGGGGTCATTCTGGGATAATCCTGTCATTTGAGACATTATAAGACCAGTACCAAACACTCTACTCAAAGCAAAAGGACACCATCATGTAATGTGTACAGCATACTAAGAAAAAATACAGAGCTGTGTGCTATAATTATAGCGCCTTTAATTAGTTTAAACAGAATCATAGAAAATTAACCTGTCACTGAACCTTACCTTTTACTTACCTTTATTCTACATGGACTCCTTGCTTTACTTATTAAATTTCTCCTTCCTTTAGCGTAACACAAAATAAGCTAGCTATTTATAAGTAATTCCAGAGAACATGTTATGTACATGCTGAGGTGGGACAAAATCACCAATCTTTAACCCATTTACCTTCAAATGAATGGGTCATGTTTTGGCTTATTCCCAAATTTTCTCCTCAGCATGTTGCCTACACAGTTTATATCTTCATTCTTCTAGGCTTGGGCTCTAAATCCTGGAGGAAGGCATCATTGCTCTGGGGACAGTTGGTGTGACAGGCACAAGTACTGATGAGCATCATAGGTTTCTTGACAATTTGTCCTTGAGGACAATGGAATACCACTTGGATGGTTTTGGTATTGTGTGGTGTGCAGCACCGGCCATCAGTACAGATGCCACAGTACCTGGGCTTGTATGTCTGGGTGCTACTGCAGTTCTTATATTGTAAGTGGATGGCCTTAAGGGACTTCTTAGTGCGGAGACACTTCTTTCCTTTCTAAGAGAGAGAGACAGAGAGACAGAGAGACAGAGAGAGAGAGACAGAGAGAGAGAGAGAGAGAGAGAGAGAGAGAGAGAGAGAGAGAGATAAGATGAGATGATCTATCACCTTGGGGTAATCACTGACTCTTACTCTGATAAGCTGTCAATTTCTAGAATCCCCAGGAAGTTTAGCTCAGGGTTTCCCAAGCTTAAGTGATGGCAACTTTTTACCAATCCATAAAACTTTCACTACCATTTTAAAACTTATAACCTTAATAAAGTAGCACCTTTTCCATAATCCTCCTTCTGTATTTTCTTTCTTTTTACAGTTCCCTTTCCTGCCTCCTGATTGTCTAAGAACCACCCCACATAGGCTACAGAGGGTAGAGCAACACTTAGTCAGTGGATGGGAATGGAGATATTTTGCTAGTCTGCAGTATAGTTTAAGTTGGGAAACACTGGTCTAGAAAATATGTGAAACTTTAAAAAGGTTGCCAGACACCAAACTGGTTGCTAGTCATAGAGTATTTTTCCTATATGGAAAATAGCTGTAGTTTGGGAGAAAGAAAGTAATAAATAAAGCCAAATTTTTGAAAAATAGGTTGAAAGGACTTTTAAAGTAATCTGTTTACTGAAATCTTTCAAAAACTGAAGTGCTTTTACATTTTAGCTCTTTGGTGGTTACAAACCAGTCCCAATCCCCTTTCATTAGCAGGTATTTTTTTTTTAGCAGCAGTTCTCAAAGTGTAGTCTGAAATCCCTCTGCGGAATCCCCAACACCCTTTCAAGAGATCCATGAGATAAAAAATATTTTTATAATCTTACTAAGGTGTCTTTTGCCTATTAAGATATTTCTCCCTTTTCCAAATGCATGTCTGTGTGAGGCTGGATCTTCTTCATACACTTGAACAAAAACAACATATCACAATAGATCAAATGTAGAAATAGATTTGAGAATATAGTTGTCTTCAATTAAGCCAAGCATAGAAGAGATTTGCAAAAATATGTAAAATAGCTCTATTTATATCACTAATACTTTTGTTAAGGAAAATATAGTAATTTTTCATAAAATATGTTACTTATGTTAATATGTAATGGGTTTATTACTGTTATTTTAAATGAAATAAATTAAAATCATTTGTTTTAATTTTTAATATGCTAAATATCAATAGGGGCAATTATGTGGCACAGTGGACAGAGTGCTAGACCTGAAGTCAGTAAGATGCATCTTCCTGAGTTCAAATCCAGCTTCAGACAGTTACTAGCTATGAGGCGCTGGGGTAAATCACTTAACCCTGTTTGCCTCAGTTTCCTTATCTGTAAAATGAGCTAGAGAAGGAAACGGCAAACCATTGCAGTATCTTCACCAAGAAAACCTCAAAAGGGGTCATGAAGAGTTGGATATGACTGAAAAACAACTGAACAACCACAAAATATCAATAGATATAACCCATATAGACATAAGTTCTTTGGGGTCCTCAATAATTTTAAGAATGTAAAGGGGTTCTGAGACCAAAATGTTTGAGAACTATTTTATAGAATTAGCATATTGTATTTATTACAATTTTCTTCCATTAATCTGAGCTCATTTCTAGCTAGCAATTATAAATAGGGCACAAGGCCAGCAATATTCTTCCCTGTCCCTACTAGTGAAAGTGGGAAATCTCTAAAGCGGTATACTGCTTTTGACTGAAGTGATGTTTCCCAGTATGTGGATGATTATAGAATCATAACGTTTAGACGGACTTGAAATCATCTCATCCATTTTACTACACCAAAGCAGAGATGTCCCTAGCTGAAACTGAATATTATAAGTTTCCAAGAAATGAGAGGAATGCTCCATTTAGCTCTCCAACCTCCAATGATTTTAGAAGCACTAATGGGTGGCAGCTAGTTGGTATAGTGAAAATAGTAGTAGTCCTGGAGATAGGAAGACCTGAACTCAATTCTAGCCTCAGACACTTACTAGCTGAGTGATCCTGGGCAAGTCACTTAACCACTGCCTGTCTCTGTTTCTTCATCTGTAAAATGAGGATAATAATAACACATCTTTTCCAGGGTTCTTGTAAGGATAAACTGAGATAATGTTTATAAAGCACATTGTGAACCTTAAAGTCCTGTATAAATGCTATCTAGCTAGTTCTGAGTTCTCGGTTCCTATTCTGAACTTGCTCCATTACAGCTGTTGACATTCTAATGCTTAAGAGAAAGTGAGGAGATTAATGGTTGGGTAATCTCAGTGATACCCAGTCTGGCTTCATTTGTCCTTTCTGATTTCTCTCTCCCAGCAGTGCCTGAGACATAGGGTGCCTACCTATCTGTAATACAACTTTTTTTTGATCCCTCCCTCCAGCTCTTTTGTGCCGTCTGCCCCACCCCCCTACACAAACATCATTTTACTCTGGCTTCAAGGATATGTCCTCTCACATCTACTGCTCCCATCCAACTCTCTCAGAGCTGTTCTCAGTAAGCCTGCTCAATAGCACGTACCTTTTCAATGGCATGTTCAGCCTCTTGCTCACAGGGCCTTACGATGCAAAGACGAGTCTGCTTCATCATCTCGCAATGGCGATTCCTGTTGGTGACCCGAGTAGAAAATCCCATCCCACAGCTCTTAGAACATGCACTCCATTCTGTAGTCTGCTCTATACAGTTGAGGCTTGAGTCAGACACACCAATCCCCAGTGTAGCCTCTTGTCTGTAAGCTTTGACAAAGATACACACCATCAACATTATTGGGAAAAACATAGGGTCCTCAAAGTGGCCCTTCCAACAAATACTCATGAAATAGAGACTAAAGGTAAGATAGGGCAGCTAGGTGGTGCAGTGGATAGAGTGCTGGGCTTGGAGTCAGGAAGGCTCATTTTCCTGAGTTCAAATTTGACCTCAGACACTTACTAGCTGTGTAACCCTGGGCAAGTTGCTTAACCCTGTTTGCCTCAGTTTCCTCATCTGTAAAATGAGTGGGGGAAGGAAATGGCAAACTAGTCTAGTATCTTTGCCAAGAAAATAAAAAATGGGGCCATGAATGACTGAACAACAAAACAAAGGGTAAGATAGAAAATGGTTACTTCCTGTATCCAGAATATCAGCAGCAGCCCAAATCTGTGCCTGTATAATGTGACCATTGGTGTTTTAAGGTATAAGTTTGCATATGAAAGATTGAGATTTAATTACTGATTTTCTAGAGGAAATAGTGTTTGAAAGTCTACAAATAATAATGGAAACACAAGTGTACTTTGGGAAGGTAGAAGAGACAGTTTTGGCAGAATTGATTCAGCAATTCAACAGGAAATCATTAAGCACATGTAATGGGAAAGACAAAGTGTTAGACATTGGAGAAGCAATAATGAATGAGTGAATGAGTGAGTGAATGAGTGAAAAAGCATTTATTAGGCACTCACTATGTACAAAGCACTGTACTGAGTGCTAGGGATACAAAGAGAAGAAGCAAGATAGCTCCAGCTTTCAAGGAGCTTACACGCTAATTAATTAAGAAAAGTGTGGTGGCAAGGCAGATGGTAAGGCCTGAAAGACCTTAGGATCCAATAGGAGGGAATATGGTAAGGTCTGATAGTCCTTCATCTCACCAGAAGTAATAGAATTGATGACTCCCATTTTATCTATCCCGTATGTGCAGCCAAGAAGCTGAAATAGACTTGGGGCAGTTCCTGCTAGAAGTTGGAGGGAAGATGAAAAATAGTCTCTCTTCTTAAGAAACTTAGATTTTTCTTAGGGATAGGACTTATGAACAGATGAAGTAAATATAAGATAATTTGAGGAAGGACAGAAGCATTGATATCTATAGGGATTCAAGGAGGACTTCCTGCAGGAAGTGACAATTGGCACAAAGGACAGAATCAGATTCTTTGGTTTATTAAAACTGCTTTCATGCTCATTATGTGCAACTTGGGACAAATCAATTCCCTTTCTAAGTGGTTCTGTTGCCTTATTTGTTAAACATGGTTAATGATTTATTGCTTTGTAACTCTCATTGTACTATTCAATACAAGCTGGAAGATAGTTTTCACATCTCCAAATAAAAGGTTCACCACACAGTTTTTAAAGTCAACAGCATTTTACAGAGTAAATATGGGTGTATTTTTATCCTCCTGCTTTATGTCAGAGTAGATTGGGAATGTGTTATTTAGTGGAAAAATTTAATCCACAAACATATTTGTGAAATTGAACTTCAACAGTCAAAGTCTTAGTAATAGTCCAATGTACACAAATAATCATGGAGCAGGATAAGGATAGGGAATGGATGTATAAGTTTGATTGGTCAATAACCATTTTTAAGTGCCTACTGTGTGCCAGGCACTGTGCTCGAGCCCTTGGGACACAAAAAGAAGCAAAAAAAGAGGATCTCAAGGGACTCACAATATAATGGGTGAGACAACATGAAAACAAATATATGCAAAGCAAGATATACACAGGATAAATAGGAAATTATTAACAGGGGGAAGGCACATTGGCTTAGAGAACTCATAGCTGAGGAAATTTCCTCTATAAATACAGGTCATCATCTTTTCTAAAACTTATAGTCTCAGAGTAATACTTGGAGATTAAGCAGTGTGCCCAGAGTCCCATAGCCAGTATGTGTCAAGGTGTGACATACAGGACTTTCAGTCTTCTGGGTTGATTCTTTATCCACTAAAGAAGGGCATAAAAACTCAAACAGCAGAGAGAATTCTAAAGCCTGTGTTCTAGTTCACGCACTGTCACATACTTTGCTGACCTTGAGCAAAGCATAACCTTTCTGAGTCTCACTTTCTATTAACTTAATTCAGTTCAACAAATACTTAGAATCAATGTGTCAGGCATTTTAAATATTGAGAAGAATGATACCCTGCTTAAATCAAAGGTTTCAGATTTAATTTATTTTTCTCTTTTCTCCATCTGAACCTGTTATGTCATCCACATAGGGAATTCCTGGCATAGAAATTCCCTCTGCTAATGAAGATTACCAAGTCATCTATAACTTACATTTTCAGAGACTCGTTCATGGTCACATAGATAAAAGACAAATACTTACAGCTAGTATATGGCAGAGACAGAATTTGAAACCAGGACTCCCTGGCTTTCCTTCTCTCAGTCCAGCCCTCTCGATCTACTAGGGAACACTTTGTCTCACAGATTTGTTACAGAGAGAATGGGAGAAGTTATATGAAGAGGTCTTGGGAGAAAAACAAAACCAGAAACTAAAGTGCTCCACAGATGTAAGGTATTATTAAATCACTTGTTAATAGTACCCAGGGATGAAATGTCAAAAGTAGGTTCCTTATGAGTAACTACGGCTGGAGAAAACACCCACTAAGACTGACCTCATTGTTAAGTGATCCCAATAAGCTTTAGCTGTTGGCTGACATGTGGCTTCTGCAAAGCAATCTCTACTACCAGATGAGTGAGAACATTGCAATATTTCTTTCCCTTGCTAAGGAAAATGGCTAAGCTCCTTAAAGGGAATACTCTGGGACTTCATTTCTTCCTATATTGTTTAGGATTCTAAGATAATAGTTCTAGATCTGGAAAGGTCTTCAGAACTCATTTGGACCAATCTCCTATCCTCATTTTACAGATGAGGAAACTGAGGTCCAGAGAGGTGAAGGAACATGCCCAAGGTCACGTGAACAGTATGCATCACTGGTAGGATTTGAACTAACTGTTATTTCTCTGTAGAACATGGAGAGGAATGAAGGTTTCCCAGGCTACTTATTGAGGAAACTTTATTTTAAGGACATGCAAGTGGAGTATCATCATCCAAAAACCAGGGTCACCCTGTATAGCAGAGAAAATACTTCCCTGGATGAAAGCATGTGATGATATTAGAAGATGTGGGTTTGAATCCCAAAGTAGTTCTGCTACCTACTAGCTGTGTGACCTCAAACAATCCACTTAGACTTGTGAGACTTGGTTTCACATTCTGTAAAATGGGTATCTGAACATTTGGTCATAGATCTGTATTTGTATCATGGAGGGGAGGGGGCTTGAAATGAGAATCAGGTGAGATTATATATGTGAAAACCCATTGTAAAGTGCAAATCATCATCTATATACATATCAGTTTACATGTTGTATTCCCCCAGTAGAATGTAAGCTCCTTGAGGGCAGGTTTCAATCTCCCAACTATGGCATTTTCTCTTGCTGTCCCCCATGCCTGCAATACCCTTTCTCTTCATTTTCACTTCCCAGTTTTTCCAATGGCCTTCACGTTTTACCTAAAATCTGATTTCTACAGGAAGTCGTTTCCAATCTTCCTTAATGCCTTAGTGCCTTTTCTCTATTGATTATTTCTCCTGTATATAGATTGCTTGTACCTGGCTGTTTGCATGATGTTGTCCCCATTAAACTGTGAACACACTGAGAGTAAGGACTGCTTTTGACTTTTGTTGCACCCCCAACACTTAGGGAAATGTGTGGCAAATAGTAGACGCTTAATAAATATTAACTGACTGACAGAGACCGTTTCTTTGTCTGCTTCACTGATATTCCAGTGCCTAGCACAGTGCCACATTTCATAGAAAGTATTTCACAAAGGCTTATCGAATTGGATGACTATTCATGTAAGCTACTATATATTATATATTCTTCGTTATATATTATATGATTATAGTTACCTAACTGTTGTATAGCATTAAAATAACTTTAAACTGTATCTTTGCCTGTGATTTCATGAGTATAGGTAGCTCCTGGTGAGGGACTTCCATTGTCAATGCAGGTCAGCACCTTCTTTGTTGCCAGGGAAGCTGAGAAGTTAAGTGAGTTGCCTAGGGTCTCATAGTTAGAACGTATCAGAGATGGACATGGACACACGTATTCTTGACTCCGGGGCCAGTTCACTTTTCATATTTACTTCTTGATTATCACATAACTTTTATAATACCAAGGGCCAAGTTGTCCTGATTTAGAGTCTATTGACTTGGGTCCAAATCCTGTCTTTGAAACTTACTTTCTGGGTAACCTTAGAGTAAGCTACTCTACCTGTTTGTGCCTCAGTTTACTCCTCTGTAAATAAGAATTTCTAAAGTCTATGAAGTGCTCTCATGGAGGAGAAGAGCTATTTAGCAGATTCCCATTTTAGGTATCTGGTGAGCTCATTACAGTATCTGGGGTTGGATTTGAAGGACATTCAGCATTCTTAGAGAGAGCAAATTGGAAAGCAAAGCCACAATTCTAACAAATGAGGGCCAGATTCTCATCCTGAAATGTTCCTTATGAGACCCCAGAGTATGCATGCCTTTAGCATTCAGGCACAGAGTGGAAAGAGGCCCCTGTCCAGTGACCTTCAGCCCTAATGAGTTTCTCACCTGCTAGAGCAAGGCCTCCCAAAGTCACTTCTTCCTTTGGGTCACAAACCCACTGCTCACAGCATTCTCCTGGAACTTCCACTTTTCTTGGGAAAGGACAGTCAGGGCGAGGAAGGAGCAGGTCATGGTTGCATCGGGGAATGCAGCCTATTTGCCCGTCTCTGCAGGTGCACTGATATTTACAGCTTGGCTGAAAGGTCTCACCACTTCGGTAAATTATGCCATCAAACACACAATTGTCTTCTTCTAGAACTAAAATGTTTAGGGACATGAGTGAAAGAGAGGAGGAGGAGGAGGGAGAACAAATAGAAAAAAACAAACCACAATAATTACATGAGGATTTCTGGAGATGGTCAAAATGTCCTATTTGTCCTTTTCTAATTTCTGGACAAAAAGGGTTCCTAAGACATGTCTGACAGCTGGGTTTGTATCCAAATTGTACAGATCATTTTTACCTTCAATGATTGTACTTTGGTTGGATTTCCCTGGCTATGGTGTTGGGTTGAATTAGAGATTACCTTTCAAGTCCTTTTTGGCTCTAAATCTGTGCTAGTATGATCCTATATTCACCTCTCTAGAGCCCAGTATCTTCTGCTATAAAATAAGGGAGTTATACTAGCTGATCTCTAAGGTCCCTTCTTATGGTTCTGTATGTGCAGAATACTCTTCAACCGCCTTTCCAACTTTGCTATAGCACTGGTGAAGCACAAGTTTAAAAATTATTAACCAGTTCCTCTTTCCCTGTGGACATGAACTGGTCATAAAGTGAATTAAGTCTGGATGCTTTAGGATTCAGCTAACTTCAATTGTTACTCTGGGTAAAGGAGACAGTGGATGTTTTCCTTTTTTCTCCTTCTAGCCCTGGTGACTTGAGTACCACAGTGGACAATTAATTTATGTTTATTGAATTTTCAAGACTATTAGGTTAGCTGACTTAACAGCCCTGTCATAAAAGAGGTATATTTCTACAACACATTCCAGGTCGACAATTATCTTTCCCTGACAAAGCTCAGAGCTGGGTTTTTTTTTTTTTTTTCTCTGTAGGTTTTGTTTTACTTTGCCATCCTCCCAATTCAACAGACATTTAAGGCACTGGGCTAGGAGCTGGAGAAACAAAGACCAAGGAGGGGAAAAAGACTTGCCTTCAAGTACCTTCCATTCTATGGAGGCATTGGGGAGAGAAATCGAAATCTTACATATAGTAAAGGAGAACCTGCTATGATGCTGTCATCCAACTCTCTGGGTGATCTAGAGCTGGCTTTACAATTTTTTTTTTTAAATAACATGTAATATACAGGTGTGAAAACAAATCGGCTAGATGACAGCTTGGGGAATTTTATGGACTTTGTTTCTTTTATTATTATAATTATTTTGCATGCACACTCACGACTTTATCCCTTCCTCCCCTCTTCTCCCCTTGGAAATCGCAAAAGGAAATGACCTAATCGGCTTTTAACTTTACTCTGAGCTATCAATCATCTGTCTAAATTCTTTTCAAGTATATCAAGTCGTAGAGGTTTTTCAGCTCGTTCTCTTTGGCCCCACACTCTCCTTGCTCAAAAAGAGTCTCTGTAATACCAGCCTCTTGCCCTCTCCCCTTATTCTATCATCTCCTCTTGTAAACCCAAATCTCATTACCACCCCCTAGTCCTTTCTCAATTACCCTTTCCCCTGATTATTGCCCTTCCCTTGGTCTGCCCCCGTGTTATCACCCTGACTTGAAAGAACTTCCAAGTCAAGATGGGGACCTTAGAAGGAACTACAGTAGGCCCCTGGCAGCTCCCGGCCCTGAACTCCAGACGAGACGAGCGCGGGTTACCCATGCAGATGCCAACTTCAGCTCTCGGGTCGGCGCTGCGGTCACAGTAGAGGCCGCTGCTCTCCTGGCAGGGCAGTAGCTCGGAGCAGCTCTCCCCGCGCTGGCGGGCGCACACCAGGCAGCAGGAGCATCTGTCCAAAACAGCCGGCACCCCGGGGGCGCAGGCAGGCGGCTGGGCCGGGCATCGGCCCGGGCACGGAGATGGGCAACTCTGAGCTGGAACGACCTGTGAGTAGAAAAGAGTACAGCCCCGTTCAGTAGGGGTGAGTCGAGCGGGAGTGCCCTGTGGGATATAGTGAGGAAGCGTCACTTACCTTGTTCAGTAGAAGGAGAAGCAAGAAACTGAGGCACAGATACTGCTTCCGTAGCTGGAGGCTCTTCCCTGGTGGGGGCAGCAGCCCGCACGGCATGGTCCCGGCTCAGGATTTCTTGCAATGACACTCTCTTTCTCTCTCTCTCTCTCTCCCTCCCCAAACTTTTTTTTTTTTTAACCCACCAGGTTCCCTTCCCTCTGGTTCTTACGCGCAAAGCTCATATTTATAGCTGCTAAGGCAGATTATATAGAGCGCGTCTAGGGACAAGTAGAAGCCGGTTGGCTGCAGCTGGGGAAGGAGGGAGGGTGGGATTGGCTGGGAGGCTAAATGTAATGGGGTTACAATAGCAACCCCAGGGTTGCTATGGTAATTGGCCAAGGTAGCCACAGCAGCCGCAGTCTCAGCAGCAGCGGTGGAAGGACGATTAGGGTGCGGTGCTGGGGTGTGTGCCCCCGCACGCCTGTGTAGGGACCGGCTTTTCTGTGGGTGCTCAGGCTAGCGGGGCGGAGTCCGGACTCTGAGGACTCACCAGTGAATGGGAAGGAAAAGACCAGTTGCTTTCTTTCAGGACAAAAAAAGCACCGTCGCACTCCATCTACCCCCAAACCTTCTTTCCCCGCTTCTATCTCTCCTCTTCACCAGCAGGGCTGTTTGAAACAAGGGGTCCTTAAGTCTGAATTCATGTTTTAGGGAGGTACGGAGCTTGGGACCATCTGTTTGAGTTTGGCAAGAGGCCCGGCTGCTTAGTCATGAGTAAAGAGAAAGCACATTCAAGTTTGTCATCTTTAGTGTCCTCACTTTATGTGTAAAAAAAAAAAAAAAAGTGTCAAAATGTAGGGAGATGCTGCTGTCCAGATGTTCTAACCTCTTTTTCACGAATTTTTCCAATTGTTCTCTATGTACTCCTCCTTCTTCTCCCCTATTCCCTTCAGACTGAGCGGAAATAATTATCTGTATAATTTTAAAAGAGTAAAAGGTTCTAGATTGATTAACATAAACCATTTATCTTCCCTGCAGAGAGCAAGGTCTTGAAGTCATGTGATGGTTGAAGAAAACTGAAAAATTTTAAGATAAGAAAAAGGACTCAGTCCAGTAGGGGGGCAGAAAAACCACTGAATTTGCAGTCTGGGAATTTGGGTTTGAACCTTAGTCCTGCTATTTATATTTGTGGGAACTTAGGAAAGTTTCCTCAGTTCTGTGGGTCTTGTTTCATCACATCTATAAAATGAGGTAGTCCAGGGATTTACTCAGCAGACATTTATTAACTGCTTACTGTATCCAAAGCATTGTGCTAGGTTCTGGGAGTACAAGATTATTTTTGCTTTTAAGGAACTTAGGTTATGCTAACCCACACCTAGGGGACTAGCACACATACCTGAGAAGTAAATGCAAAAGATATAAAATTTTGGAGAGAGACCACTAGCTGTGTGTGTGTGTGTAGAGCAGGAAAAGTCTTTCAGGAGGTAGCACCCTAAAGGGATATCTAAGTTTCCTTTCAATTCTTAACATTTTAAGATCTTAGTGCAGCTTAGATGTTATTTTGTGAGGCCACTCAGGTTATAGAGGAGAGTTTAACCGATTAATGTCTCTTGCACATAAAACAACAACAACAACAAAAATCCCTTTTTCATCTCCCGATGTTTCATAAAACTGCTGTTAAACTATATAGCATCCTTTCGACAACCTGACCATCTAGTATCTATCTCATGGTGGGACCAGTGTTATGCTTGAAAGAGTGGTGCTGCCTTCTGGGTGTTTTTCATACACCAGTCTCACTACTGTCTATTGTTATTCACAGGGAAAATATGTTGAGGCCCTCTGAGGATAGCAGCTTTTTGAAGGATATTTTATAGGAAAAAATTTGTGACGTAACCAGGCTGACAAAAAAAAAAGAAACAAATCACCTCTCCATCCCAGGGCATGTAGGGAATCACAAGCAAGTGGCAAAAAGCCAGACTTGCCCATGTACTAACGCCCACTGAGAAGGATGAGGTCAGTGTGAGGCACTTCCATGAAGTTCTGTAAGTTGCTTGGAATTACCACTTAGTATTTCCAAGCCTCCAACAAGCTTGATTTGTTTGAATTAAATGAGACAGATCTGTATCAAAGGGTGTAACCGGGAAAGTTGGGAGAGTGGGAGAGAGGGCAGTTCTTTCAACACCAGGGATGGGAGGTTCACATTTCCCCTTCCGGCACACTCCTAGATTAGTGGGTGTGCTCAAGGTAGAGGTTCCCAAGAGTTTATTGTGTACAATAAATGAAAATAAGATGTCCCTGTTGGTATTTGACATACGGTTCCTCCAGCAGGGAGAGAGGATAATATTTGGCACAGTACACTGAGGCAGGCACCCTATATCCTGGGGTGTGATTCCCATTTCTTACTTAATCCAAAACAGGACTCGGGGCACTGTCCTCTATTTTCCCCCAAGTTTAACCACATATGGTCATACATTTGGCCTCACCCCAATCCAACCTCCACAAAGTGGACAAGTGATATTCCTAAAGTGCGGGGCTGATCGTGTTACTCCCCTACTCAGTAAACTCTTGTGTCTCCTTAACACTTCCAGAATCAAAATATAAACTTCTCTTTTTGGCATTTAACTCTTCACAACCTTTTTCTCTATTTTTCTAGTCTTCTTACCCATTCATTTTCTTCCCACACTCTGAAATATAGCTTACTTGCTGTTTCTCAACATATCTTATGGCCCTCAGTCCCCCATCTGCTTCCTATGCCAATTACCTCATAATCATTTTCAATATGTATGTTTACATTGTGTATGCACATAAATACACATATATACATATGCATATATACATTTACACATATTTACCCATACATACATACATACATATTTATCTATATCTGTATCTCTCTTTCTCTATCTATCTATCTATCTATCTATATGGTATTTAGTTCTTTCAGTCATATCTGACTCTTCATGACCCCATTTAGGGTTTTCTTGGCAACGATACTGGAGTGGTTTTCCATTTCTTTCTCCAGCTCATTTTACAGATGAGGAAACTGAGGCAAACAGAGTTAAGTGACTTGTCCAGGGTCACATAGCTAGTAAGTGAGCCAGATTTGAACTTGGGTCCTCTTGACTCTGAGGCTAGTGCTCTATCCACTGCTTGACCTAGCTGCCCTTACCTGTATATACTTACATGTATGTGTGTTGTCTCTTCCATTAGGAAAGTAAGCTCTTAGAGGGCAAGAACTATTTAGCTTTTATCTTATGTTTAGCCTAGCACCTGAAAAATTGTTGATGCTTGATGATTTAATGGCTGGTACTGCAGCTGAAGAAAATAAGGCAAGAGCAGGTAAATGGAAGATAAAACATCATCTCTCTTTCTTTATTTTGAAGTTAAGGACCTGCAACAGAAGAAAGGATGAGAGAGGAGTGCAGGTCTAGCTGATATACTAATACCAAACTCTCTAGATTTGTAGGATATGGGCAGAAGAATTTAAAAACTGCAGATTAGACAGAAGCTAACTGAAGGCAGGAGATTCTTTCTGACCTTTGTCAGGACTGTACAAGATATAGTCAATCTTTTATTTTTTCCTTCATTTTATTCCATTTCTTTTGTTCATTGTAATTGCAGTCATAGTTATAGGGCAACCACAGATGCTCATGTGAGTCCAACCAGGTCTGACATAATTATACAGGCAAAATCTAGTCCTGGATCAGTTTCAGGGCCATTTTGATGGTTTTAGTCTATTTTTTGTTCCAAAACAAACTCAAATGATATAGTTTGTCCTAGAACTCAATGGATCAACTGTCAAATGAATTCCAAGCCTTTAATAGACTTTGGCTTCCTGAAGGTCCTCCATACTGGTATTGACTTGGCCTTAGAATAGATTTTTCAGGGGTCAATCCAGGGCCAACAGCATTCCCAAAGATTTTACCAAGCTCAGAAATGACATGGGATATAAGCAGCTTTCAGCATGCTATGTGACCTAGGTGATTTTTGTCACTTTTTCCTTTCTCCCTCTTTTCTCTTCTCCATCTCCTTCTTCAGAGGCAGACCAATGCAAATTGTTAGCAAGTTTCTCTTTACATCCATGGGTGTTCTTGGAAAAGATTGTTAAATTTTCAGTGTGACTATTTCCCTGGGAAAATCAGCAAATGCTACAAATTTGGCCTTGATTTTTGTTGTTATTGTTGATTGTTTAGACTTAAGAAAGTGATTAGAAGAAATGCAGAGAAAGAACTGATAAATAGAAGTATGTATAGAATGGTTTTAAATATACATATATATATATATATATACGTGTTATATATGCATACTTATGTCTAATGGTAGCCATGGGTGGGGAGGGGAGGAAAGGAAAAAAGGGAAACAAAGAAAGTTACATGATAACTTTATTATATATTTAAGAAGAATAGCAAGTTCTCCATAATAGATTTGTAGTTTTGTATCACTGACAATAAAAGTAACAAAAGCTAAAAAAAAAGCATGTCATGGACATATTTTTTGAGATCCACTTGTTAAGCATTTGCCAGCATACCCCTGCCTACATCACTCTCAAATTTTCTACTTTGTGACTTCTGTCCACTGCTCCTAGTTCTACTCTCAGGGGCCAAATAAAACAAGTCTATTGCTCTTCCACATGACAACCCTTCAAATCCTTCATTTCAATGATCATGCCCTCCTCCCTACCTCCCAGGGCCACACTGTCAGTACCTTTCACCAACCCGCATCTGACAGGATCTCCAGGACTTTACTACAATGATTGTCACCTTCCCCTGGATGATCTCCAGGTTAATAAAGTCCTTCATAAAATGCCGAACTGAAGAAAATATTCCTGATGTGGTCTGACTAGGACAGAACAGAGCTGGGATATCCCTTCCATAGTCCTGGATGCTATTCCTTGCAAAGTAGCCTAGAATTTTATTAACTTCTTTTTTGTTTTGTTTTGGCTGCCATCTCAGACTGTTGAAAGGTTTTGTATAGTGGACAGAAAACCAAGTCTAACACCCCTTTTTTTCCAATAAGAAAACTGAGGCCCAAAGAGGTTTAGTGACTTGCCTGGGGTGCCATTACTCTAAGTGTTTGAGGCAGTAATCGAACTGAAATCTTCCTGACTTGCAGCCCTCAAGTCACCTCTCTGCTCCTAAAACATGGCATGCAATTGCAAAACTAGGGCAAAAATGCTATGAAACAT